ATTAATTATTATCTTCAACTTTCCTGGATTATTTTCGAAAATTGTAATAAAATTCTTTGAAAAATTCAATTATTTTTAATAGAATTTTAGAAAATTTCAATTATTATTTTAGTAATTTGCAAACACTTGTTCATAAACATTCAATTAACTTTTAAAAATAGAGTTACAATATTTTAAAAAACTAATTTTTGAAAATTTTAAATAAAACTTTTCGAAATTTCAATTTTTTAAAATAGTGGAAATTTAAATCTTTTTAAAATAGTTTAAAACTTCAATAAAATTTTATTATTTCAGAAAATTGCAATTTATTTTAACTAAAATCTTTTCTAAGTTAATTATAATTAATAACTTTAAGAAAGTTATTCTAGAATTTAATTATTTGAAACAAATTTAATTATTTACAGAAATAAGAAAAATTTTTTAAATTGTGGAAAAATTCATTATGATTCAATAGTTTTTAAGAAAAAAAAATTCAAGGTTAAGTTTCTCAAAAACATTTTTGAACACCAAAAAACGGAATTTTAGCAACCCTATTTATAGACAAAGAATTTCGAAATTGAATAAAAATTGAAGAATTAAAATAAAAAAATATATTTAACCTTTCGACTCTTAGCTATAATAAAATTAAGAAAAATGAAACAAAATTAATTTTTTTAATTTTATTTACATCATTTTTCATAACTTTCTTTGCCAAGGGATGCAAAGTTAAATATTTTTTTTTATTTTTATAATTCCATTCTTTTCAATTTCGAAATGTTTATTTACAAAGCTTTATGAATTTTATTTAGAATGTAGTTTAATTTAGAATTTACATAATTTAATAATTGATCAACAAATTTTTTTAAATTAATTTAAAATATTTAATTTTTGATGAAAATTTTTAAAAATAAGTTTTTTTTCAATTTTTTTAATGTTATTAACTAAGGGACGAAATATTAAATATTTTTTATTTTAATACTACAATTTCTTTTAAATTTCGAAATGCTTTGTTAATAAAGCTTTTAGTTATTTATTCTAAATTTTTTAAATTTATTTAATCTAATACATTTCCAACGCAATTTTTTCTTTAATTTAAAATTACTTTTTTGTGTTCGACCTTTTTGTTTTGGAAGTACCTAAAGGATATTTGAAAATGATGTAAATTAAATAAATTTTAAAGTTTAAAATAAATGACAAAAACTTTATAAACAAAAAGTATTTCGAAATTTAAATAATACTTCTTAAATTCGTTTAAGAAGAATTAAGTAAAACTAATTTTTTTAAATTTTTTATCAAGAACTGAATATTTTAAATTAAAGAAAAAATATTTTGCAAAAGTATTAAATTAAACAAATTTTAATCTTTAAAATAAATTGCAAAAAATAAAACATTTATTTATATCAAAACTTTATAAACAAAGCATTTCGAAATTTAAAACAAATTGAAATATTAAAATAAAAAATATTCAACGCTTTTACAGATAAAATCATTTTTTAAAATAAAAGCTCCATTTTTTAGAACAAAATGTACGCAATTTTTCTATCAAGAGAAATACCATAGAGCAATTTTCCTGTAAATTTAGATGCTAAAATTATGAATACCACAATATGTACAATTCGAGCTTTAACAAAACGTTGATTTTTAACTCCATCGTTGTTTTTTTTATTTTTTTTTTTTTTTAATAAAAAGCAACAACGTGTTACACAAGTTAAGCGCGAGATGAATGTGTGTATATGAAAATAACTAGTGACCATTACAAAATCTATATACTGCGTGTATGTATCGTTAAAAAGCCTTTAGTTTGATCAAACGTAAGCGGAAAATAATTCCAGGGTGGCAGTTCAAATTGACAGGGCAACGCGTTTTCATTCATTTGAATTACGTTCCAATTCTGTCAGTGACTTTAGCATTGTTGCTACAAATTGGTACACGCCCTTCCCTCAGGCATGTCCCCCTTCTACTGTCTCATCCACATGGTCCAACAAAATGATTCGTGCCTAGCGTTTTAATAACATTCAGTTATCGTCACGTACGAAAAGTTTAATTCGGATATTATATTCATATAAAGAAACCCCCTAATAAAGCCAAACGCAGAGAGACATTCATTTCATAATAAAGAGAAAAATAGTTATTCAATAAGCGATATACATTTCTGTCTTTGACAGAACGCAACACTTTATAGAAAATAAATTATACACTGAGAAAACCATTTATTTGTATGAAACATATTTTGATTAAATCGAGCTTGGAATATCTTTTCAGTAGAGTCAAATGTATTTAAGTTCAATTAAAACATTTTTTGGTTCATTTAGAGAAATAATATATTCAATTCAAAAAATAAATTTTAGTTGATTTTTAATTATATACATAATCAACTTTTGAATCCAATATATTATTCAAACAAATAATGCTTTTAAATCAAAACCGTAGATATTTTCTATAATATTCTTTAAATTTGAATTAGTGACTAACTTTTTGCTTTTGAATTAGTAAATTTTACTATAATAAATTAGTAGAAATTACTATTTATTAGTAAAATTTATTAATTCAAAAGCAAAAAGTCAAATTCAGATTAGTAAACATTTTTACTATTCCAAATTTTAGAGAGTTGGGATTAAATTTATAAACTGACTTTAATTAAACAAATTAAACAATTTAATTACACAATTTTTGTATTTTAATTAAGACGTTGATTAAGTTTACAATGTTTATAATAATCAACGTTTCAAAAAAAAAATAATTTTCTATTCAAATTTTTGCCTTAAAATTTTTTTTACAATTCTGATTAATTAATTCTTGACTCAGTTCATCGTCTATTTAAAGAATTACGTTACAATGATAAATATATTTTAAAATTCGTCAGTAAATTCTCACAAAGAGATATTGTTTCAAACATTATTTAGAAAAAACTTTTTAATTTGCAAAAAATATTTTTCTCTATTTCATAAGTGTTTGAATTTTAATTTATTTTTATTATTTCTAATTTCATCATTTATTAATAAATCAATTATTAAGTAATCTATTTATTTATATATTCAACTTATTATTAATTAATTAATTTACTTTCTTTCTTTTAAAGACAGAAATATGATATTGTTAAGTACATAATTAATTTGCTTCTTTCACTATATAAATAAGAAAATTTGAATCGTCGGTAGACCAACTTTTTTAATTATTTTATTAGAAATTAAATTTTTTAAGTAATTAAAGAAAATAATATAACTAGTAGTTAATCACTATCAGCTTAATATTGAATTATAAATAATTTTTAATGAATTTTATTATTATTATTATTATTATTATTATTATTATTATTATTATTATTATTATTATTTCCACACTTAATAAATTTATTTAAATATTTCATTCTTTATTAATTAATTAATTGATTAATTATTTATATTTACTAATCAACTTATTGTTAAATAATTAATTAATTTGTAACTAAATTTTATCTAATTTAATCAATCAATAAATTTTATTCTGCTTTATAAAAAATACATTTTTTGTATCAGGAGAATCTTATTTAATGAATAAAATCAATTTTTAATTATTTAGTATTTAATTAATATGATTAATATCAGTTTAGTAATTAATTATGACTAATTTTTTTTAATGCTATTATTATAATTCTATTTTTATATGCTTAATAAATTAAAATATTTTTTTTAGTTTATTTATTAATTAGTTGCTAATTTATTTATTTATTTGTCAACTAATTGTTCAGTAATTAATTCTTTAAACTAATTTTAACTTAATTTAATGTAAAAATTAATTTGTTTAAAATTAAAAATTGTTAAATGTGCGGATAAAGCAATTTATCCGAATTTCAAGAAAAAATGAAAAAAAATATTTAATAGAATTTACATTATTATAATTCTTTTAAATATTTTATGTAAAAGATAAAAAAAATTAATAAAATTACTATTTTCGTGGTCATTTGCAAATTTTTGCGAATTTGAAATTATAATAATACAAAATTTTTATTTTTAAAACTGCGAGGACTAGAAAAGCAATAGAAAGTATTTTTAAATCAATTATTACTACTTACCAAATCAGCAAATATTCCAATTGAAATTGATTTGGAAAATTAGTTGCAGGATCGCCTCGAAGATCATCTAAAGTATTTTATTTCCAGTCAGCAATAGAACCTAAAAATTAAAAATTAATTTTGTTAATTTATTTTCTTAATGTAAATAATTGTATTTTGTGTATTTATTTTCCATTGTTTACATTGTTCAATATCGAAATATTCCAATAATATTATTAATAAAATCCGAAAATTAAAATTTTTAACTATAAAATAAAAATTCTCAAGAAAATTTGTTCCGCTAAGAATATTTTCTTTATAGACGTATTTTTATTCATTTCCTTTCGTTAATAATCATTTTATAACTCTCAAAATATACATCTACGCAATCTAATAAAGAAATTAGATAGGAATTTAAAAATAGAATATTCTGATTAAAAAATAATTAGAAAGAAAAACGAAATAAATTTATTGTGACCGTTTAGAAGTTTACACAAAGTTTAGGTCATTAAAACTGATACTTTGCGAGAAGCAGGGAGAGTTCGGATTTGCCACGCGACTCAGGCACAGTAGGTGGTCGAATTGAAAGAATCGTTAGCAAAAAGTCTAACTGGATTCTGGACCATGAAGAATTGGATAACAACCTCATTCCCCTTGCTTTCTCGCTTTGGAGATTTTCTAGTTTGCTTGTTAATCACAAAACTGAACTGACCTATTCACGAGTTTGATACCGAACAAAGACCGTACTGAGACTTTAGTAAATGGAATAATTAATTGCCACTGAATTGAAATATTCCTAAAAGGATATCACTTTTCAAACTTAATTTACTTAATTTAATAATTTAAATTTGATAAATTAAATCTTAATTAATTAAAACCTTCTTTGAAGAAAACAAAAACAACACAAACAAGCAAAACTATAATCTATTTATGAAAAATAAAATTTCTGTCTTATTTCGCTAAGAGAAAATCTTTTTCAATTTTATTGCAGGTGTGGTTTCAAAATCGAAGGGCGAAATGGCGAAAAACGGAGAAATGTTGGGGCAGGAGTACCATAATGGCCGAATACGGTCTTTATGGGGCAATGGTGAGACATTCGTTACCATTGCCAGAAACAATTCTAAAAAGTGCCAAGGAAAACGAATCAGTTGCTCCATGGCTTCTAGGTAATACATCAACACCTAATTTATTAAGAATTTTTAATTTTTTTGCCATTTATTTTCCGCTTCTTTTTAGTTATCGAGAGTTTCGAATTCAAATTAGAATGTTCCAAAAATGAAAAACAAAAATTTTTGCGAAACATAAAAAAAGAAACAATCGGATTAAAGAAAAAAAAAAAGAAATATAAATGTGCCAGAAAAATATAAGAGATAGAGATTAACAACATTTAAAAATGATTAATCTTTCGAAATTCTCGAATCTTTTTCTGTCCATTTCTATCAGCGCAACATTCTAAGTCAAGCAGCTTTAGTCAAGATTTCGAAAATAATCAACGCGAACTGATTGACTGTGGCCCTGTAGGGATGCATCGAAAGTCCATTGAGGCGGCGGAGCATCTAAAATCGGGTGGCGAGGACAGCGGAAACGACCATCCAGGAAGCGGAAGCAGTCCTCACCACAATCATCATCAAGGAGGGCCTACCAGTTCAGAGAGTGGACAGGAGAGTCAAGACGGCATGGGTCCATCTTCATCCTCTGGTAAGTACATACAATCATTATTATTATATTTAATATTTTATACCAACATTCATTCAAATCACAAATACCTATTTAAAAACAAAATTATTTTCTCTAATAATATCAAACTTTTAAAAGGACACAATATTTTGGCTTTTACAAACAATTTCGAAATTTAATTATTGGAATTTTAATCGAAAATTGATGAATTTGTTCTGCAATTACTAAATTAAAAATACTAGATTAATAGGGTTGCCACAAAAATCTGATTTTGTTTTTTCTGATTTCCTGACATAATTTTGACTTTTCCATAATCTGATCCCTATAGAAAAAATTCAAGAGAAGTTCAATTATAAAAAAAGATAGGCAATTTTTTTAATCGAAACATTAATTAAAAAGTTTAAGGATGTCTATACCTATTCACAAAAAAATAATTATCCACTGTGGCAAACTTTCCTCAATTATTGTCAAAAATTTCAATAAAATTCTTTGGAAATTTAATTATTTTTAGTAGAATTTTAGAAAATATCTAGGGGGAAAGGTAGTTTTTTTGTTGATAACTCATTAAAAAAAAAAATAATTAATTTATATCAACATATCATCGGAAAGAGGGCCTAAAAAGCTACAAATTTGACCCATAGATAATTTAAATTGGCAAAAAATAAAATTTCTACATCAAATTTTAAAAATGATGTAAAATCAACGTTTCGAAATTTATATAGGCTTGCAGGTTGACCCACCTTGAAAAATTGATAATAATATGTAAAAATTTAAATAAATTTATTAAATTTTACTTACATTTAATGTTTCTGAACATAATAATTTAAATTTAAATTTTTTAAACAATTTAATTATAAATAAAATTTAAAAAAAAAAATTTTTTTTTTGAAAAATAAAAAATCGTTTTTTAATTGAAAATCAAATGAAAAACAAGATATGTGAAAAAAATGAAATTTCGGAAAGCGTGTAAATTTACTCCAAATTATCAATTGCATTATTATTAATTGCAGGTGGTGCAACCTGCAAGTCGTAAAGTGAGTCAACCTGCAATTTTGAACTCTATTTTTAAATCGATGAAAAAAAATATTAATTCATGATATTTTAAAAATCCATTTTGGATTATAAAAATTGATTAAAAAAGCAACTCAGAAAAAAATTGTAACTTAAATTATCTATAAAAAGATTTTATTTGTTATCACATGAAAAAGTCGCAATTTTAATTTTTCTATTTTTCCACAAAATATCACTTTCAGAATTTGTTTAACAAGAACATTTTTATTGCTTCTTTTTGCTCCAAAAGAGCATAAAAACTAATAACTAATTATTTGACAACAATATCAGTCGCGTTTTTAATTATTGCACTTTTAGATTAAAAAATAACGGAAGTGGGACAACAACCTGCAAGCCTTTTCCCTATTATATCAAAAATTCCCAATTACTTGTTTTTAAAATTCAATTATCTTTAAGAAAAAAATTGAACTCAAATATTTTAATAAAGTTATTAACTAAACTACTTACTTTTCAGAATTTTAAATAAAATTTTTACGATTTTAATTTTTGAAAATAATTACACTCATTACTCGATTATGAGTCTTCATAAAATTAAATTATTTGACAATTATTAAATTAAAATTCTTTAAAAATGTACTTTTTTCAATCTCTTATGAAATTTAAAAAAAAAATTTAATTATTGTCAATTTCTTGACAAAAATTCTTCTCCAAATCAATTATTTTTAATAATTTATTGAGAAACTTAATTGAGAATTCAATTATTCAAAGAAAATAAAGAAAGTAAACGTAAACTAATTCTAAAATTCACTTGTTTACAATTCAATTTTACCAAATTTCGATTATTCGAAAATTTTTTTAATTAAATATAAATATATTCAAAAATACAACTAATTTAAAAAAAATTGAATAAAAGTTTTTCAAAAAACTTGTTTAGAATTTTTAATTAAAAATATTTAAAATTCAAATTTTATATTTTACTTTGAAACCTTTTGAAATTCAATTATTTAGAAAAATTGTAACATAATTCATACAGTTTATTTATTTTTACAATTTTTAAGTAAAATTATTAGCCAAATAATTTATAAGTAATAATTTTATAATAGTTCTTCATGAATTAAATTATTTTATACAAATTTAATTTTAAATTCCGTAAGGTTCACTGAAAAGGAAGTTTATTTGATTCAAATAACCGATTACTTGACTATTATAAAGTAAATATTTACTTGAATTAAATAATTTTATTTGCGCCAATTAAATGGTATTTGCTTCAAATACTGAAATTATTGGTTCAAATACCATTTAATTGATTTAAATAAAAATTATTTGATTCAAGTAAATATTTATTTGATAATAGACAAGTAATCGGATATTTGAATCAAATAAATTGTTTTTTTCAGTGTTTAATAATTGTCAGAAGGAGAAAAAACTTAAGATTTTGTATTAAAATTCGTGATTTCAAAGGTTTTCTTATTTAAAAAAAACCAATTCGAAGAATTAAATCGTACTGTTAATATTTTCAAAGGTTTTGCTGACCATGAAAGTCCAAACATTTTTTTATGAATTCTAGAAATTTAGTAATTTTCAAGTATTTTTGATAAAATTCTGATTTCTCTGAATAATTTTATTTTCCCTGTATTTTCTCTGATTTCCCTGACCTGTGAAAAAACCTTGTTAGTAAAAAATTACTAATTATAAGTAAAAAGCTACTAATTAATTTGTTGAAGCTGCTATTAAAATTAGTAACTTTTACTAAATTAATTAGTAACCTTAACAAATTAATTAGTAGTTTTTCTACTACCAATTAGTAGTTTTTGACTAAAATTTAGTCAAAATTAACTAATTCAGATTTAGAGAATTTCGAGAACTAAAACCAGAATTTTTGTATTATTTCTAGAAATCTGATAAGTTTTTAGTTCTTTTGATATAATTTTCTGACATTCCTCTGATTTTCCTGATCAATTTCATTTCTCCTGACTTTTCCCTGAATTCTCTAATCTATGGCAACTCTGTTAAAACAAAAAAAAACAATTTTAAGCAATTTAATTCAAGGCGACACTGCATTATATCTTATTTTCCTAATTGAAAATTTGCTTATAATTTCAGGTGGAGTTCAGGATACGGAGCAGCTTAGAAATGAAAGCATCGCGTGTCTGAGAGCGAAAGCTCAACAACATCAGTTGCAGTTAAGTTTGCAACCGGCGGCAGCACCCGGAAGTACTTCGTATCAAACTGCAGCACAACCCAGCACGCTTCACGCCACTGTGTAAAGAAATTGGAAATTACAATTTCAAAGTGAATATCTTAACTTCTTGTTTAACAATAAACTTATAAACAATTGTGTTTTATCAAAAATTAAACAAGACGTTGAGAACTTAGATGCCTAAAACAAAGAAAATAAATGAAAAGTGCAAAAAAAAGCGTTAATCGCAAAGAAAGCATTTTTTTCTTCAAAATTTAGTAAAATTACCGGACAAAAAAAATTCAAAGTCATTGAATACTATCGATTAAAAGTATTTAATCTACTCACGTATAATGTCTTTATAGATTTTTCCCTGAACAATTCGATTATTATTATTATTATTAAAATCCGTAATGAGTAAAATTTCGCACAAAAAGAATAAAATTTTATACGGTTGGTGCTGGTTCACAAAAACCAAATGTTTGACGTTTTTTCAATTTAAGAAAATATTCATAAAAAAAATTTTCTTCTTTCAACAGTTTTGAAAATTATATAAATAAGAATCATAAATTCTTTACTAAAATTTAAAACATGTTTCCTTATGGAAAACAAAATTGTCAATTTGTTTTCGTGTTACTGCACAAAAAAAAAAGAATAGTAATAATCGAATTTTGGAAAATAAAGAAATAAGCCTAATCGACAGCAACGAAATGAAAAAAAATTCAATGTGAATCTGAATTGAAATGAAATACTTAATGCATCGACAATTGTAAAATTGAAAAATAAATCGAATCAAAGAGTGAAGGTAGCAAACGGTACTTCGAATATCTAAGTTAATAGCTATCTTTTACATATATGTAAAAAGAAAAGAACTGCGTGTAGATTTTATCTCTGAAAACTTGGCAGTAGTAGTTATTCGTTAATTAAAAGAAAAAATACAAGAAATCCTCCGTGTCGCAAATCGAAAGGAATTGCTTTGAAGACAAAAAAAATTATAAGTGAATTACGACGGGCAATATTTAACCTGACAATACAATTGAAGGATATAGGTACTTTTTTATAAATATATTATAATTACAAATAAAACTTTAATCAAAGATTCTATATAATACATTCGCTATTTTGTTTTTTTTTTAATTTGTAGTTTTACGTTTTTCATTTTTTGTTGAACACTTTTGCATGACATTGAAAAGTTTTTATGGAATACGGAACAAATTACAATTAAATGACGATAATAGAATAAAAATACAAATTTTTTTTCGAACAGGAAAATTTTTTCTTCTAATTCAAAAAATTTGACTGTAAAAAAGATTTCGTTTTAATTAAATTTACTCCTCAAAATTTGAAAGTTTTCATCAATTTTATTAATAAAATTTTAACGTAAATTAATTGTGTACATATTAAATATAATTCGAATCAATTAAAAAATTCTAATTTAGCCGTTTTTAAAATAATTCCAAAAAACGATATTTCATTGACAAAAAAAATTATCCCGTTAATTTTATGTAGCTTTTAGCTTAAATAGACGCAGCTTTGTCCATTTTTCCACTCCATTTGCAACCGAGAATTGTGCAATTTGGAGTCATGCAAAAGTGCTCAATTCGTAAATCGAATTACATTTTCCATTCGCTTTTGCAACGAGTCATGGATAAAAGCAAATAACGACTTCAGTGACTTCAATGATAACTCGCAACGAATACCAGACGTCAGATTTTTAAGGAGAGAGAGAGAGAAAGAGTGAGAGAGAGAAAGAAAAACGAAAAATTTAAATAAAAAGAGGAGACCTAAAAGATACTCAAGCTCACATCGAAAAAAAAAAAAATGATAATTCAAAGGTACCTATTGTGCAACTTTCAACGAAAACTGTCGAAGCTTGTAAAGGATAGCGGTAATGGCAAGTGAAAATGAGATACTGAAACAAAGTAAATATGAATAAATCCATGCGAGGTGAGAGGAAATAATTTGTGAATGAATGTATGTGCGCGACTGAGGGAGCGAGAAAATAAATGAAGCGAAAAAAAACAATTTGAAAGAGAGAGAGAGAGAGAGAGAAACTGCGACAATTGAAATGAATTTTTAACAAACTTCCTATACCCGAGTACTTAAAGAAAACGTAACTGTTGTCAAATGTGCAATATATCAACATAAGTTTTAGATTCATAAGGCATTATACTTTATAAAAATACCAAGGTGGATTAAGAGGATAATGACGCTCCTCGGAAAATGCGATATTTTTTTCCAATTTTTATCGGAAAAACGAAAAAAAAATTACAATTTGTATACTTTAAATAACACTGAAGAACAATAATTATCTATATTTCCAAATATATTTTACGATTCATAAAACTTGAAATTTTCGCATTTTCGTACATGTGAAAAAAATGTCAAAATTTGGAAAAAGTTATTTAATATAGGTATTGTTAAATAATAAAAATAAACCCATTTTATTAAAAATTGATTCCAAATATTTGAATATATTTCTCAAAAGTTTAGAAATTGTACAAAATTTTTCTAAAACAAAAAATTCGCTTAAGCAAATTTTCAAAAAACGTGAAATATTAACAAAATGTATAATTATTGTCCTTCAATGATAGAATATAATTTTGTCAAAGAATTGTCACTAGAAATAAAAATAGTAACAATTCTTTTAATAAGGTTTTTTTTTTATTTTCAAAATCTAAAAATATTGAAATTGCGGTATTTATACGAAGAAATTTACAATTATAATTAAAATTGTGCAAAGGAAGATCTCTATAGTTAATTTGATAAATACGAATAATAATTAGCAATATATTATGCTAATTGAATAATATATTTTAATTCTAATGTACATCCGAAAAGCATCGAATCCTTTTCCTCTCCACTGTATATAAATATATAAATACGATTAAATAAATATAAAATCCGATATATGTGGTCGCGTCGCGTTCGGTCGATCGAATTCTTTCTGCGATTTTTTCAATTGTCTTAAATAAAAGAAAAAAAAGAAATATAAAATACTTGACATTTCCATTATTATTACATATATGGATATGTCAATGTCATAATTGTGATAAATATACTTTTTTCTATATTTTGCGAAGAAAAACGATTATATAATTGATTATTCTGTTTCGTGTGTGAGATATGAGGATGTGCAAGAGATCTGTATTTTATAAGAGAAATGATATTCGAACGCCTTGACGCGAACAGGCACTAGATTATACACATAATGTATAACGCGCTATTAATTAAAAAAAGAAACTAAACACGAGAAAAAAAGGTAACCTCATACGTTCTCCAGAACTAAAGAATAAAAAAATTAAATAAAAAAAAAAATTAAAACAAGACAAAAGCACTTTAGATCACGTTCAGGATTCCGAACGCCCCGAACGCATACATAGTAGTCGGCTAGTGTATTTAAAAATAAAGTTTCTGAACAATGAACAACAAATATACACCTGTCTTCTTTTTTTCCATAAAACCTCCTCTCTAAAAGTTTATTAATTAAATCTATTCATATTCTGAATATTCTACTTAATTACTACGGACAATTTTTTCAATTTATGTTGTTTGATTAAAACTCTGATTATAGTATTGAGAATTTTTCTAAACAGAAAATGAAAATTTATAAAGAGCATTTGTCAAGAATTTTCATTTCAAATAGAATTTCAGTTTGCATTAGAAAATTAAACGGTATTTTTGATAATGCACTAATGATAAATAAATAAATTGAATTATTTAATGAAAACATAATAAAAAAGATTACTTACCAAAAACTCGTACACTGTAAATTCATCTCGGTTTTGAGAATTCATACCACATTTTTCTGCAACTGTGCATTGAATTCATTAGCTACAATTTGGAATTTTTCTGCAACTGTCCATTGAATTGATTCATCATAATATTGAAATGCTTATACAACTGTTCATCAAACTGACTCGTCATAAATTGAACCTACAAAAAAGACTAATGTTAATAAAGAAATATTTGGATAAATTAGGAAATAACAAAAAAAAGCATTTTCTCATATTTAATAATTTATAACTAATATTTTAAAAATAAAGAAAGTATTGTAAAAAATAACAGATTTTAAATTAAATCACTTAAAAAAATAATTTGGAAATTTAATTTAATTTCGTAAATAAATGTCAATTTTTTGACGGGAATAGAAATATTAAATAATAAGTAATTATTTACAAATTACAGTAAAAAATAATTATTAATTACAATTTATTTTATAAAAATAATATAGTGTAATAAAAATATTTTATTTATTCTCAATTTAATTTAATATATTGATATTTTATTTATTCATTTACTTTTTTTTAATTTAATTTTATTCATTCGCCTGTTAGCTTAAAAGAATGAAACTAATTAATATAGAGAATCGAATTAATTAAATAATATGTTGTTTTTGAGAACTGGAGATTTTTTTACTAATTTGAAAATAATTATAATATTTATAATATAGTTAATAGCAATAAACCTGAAAATAAATGTAATTGAATGTAATAATTAACGAAAAATAATAGGAATGATGATCGTAAAAGTGAATTACTGTTTAAATTATTATTCTTTCAAATCAAAGTAAATAAATAATTAATTAAATAAATAAATATATAAATTAAAACATAAAAGCAGGATATAATGAACCTTAATCTAATAAATATAAATAATTATAAATACAAAATTTAATTAAATTAATTTAAATATCTCGAATCAAATTATATAATATACCTACTCAATATATTTTGCATAAATTTATGAACAAAATTATTGTAAGCTCTTATTGTTAAGATGCTTAACAAGTATAATTAATATTAAGTCTTGCTGAAACTTGAATCTTTACGAAATTATGATTAAAATATTGAAAAATCTCACGTTGATAACAAAACAAATTTTTAGGTTAGAAAATAATGTAATATAAATTACAGGGATTAAATATCATTGAAACTCCACTCTAAAGTAAATAATTTGTTGCATAATTCAATAAAATTAATCAAGAATTGCAAATTTTGTCATTAAACAATTGACTAATTTCTATAAAAATAAAAATTGTCACGAAATTTTGTGGACAATGAGAAAACATCGGAATTGTCTAATTTTATTTAATTAACTAAAAAGCTAACCTTGTTTACTTTATTTAAACATAATTTAATTATTCTGAAATTCATGAAACATCGCTAATAATTATATATTTACCTAATTTGAATCAGTTAAATTTATTTATTTCTTCCACTGATTGCAATTTTTGACAGGTATGATTTTCGTGGCCGCCGTTTTGATTACCTGTTATCATACATTAAAAGGGGAGGAAAAAATCAATAATCGGAATCAATATTCATATACATATACGCATATGTAATTTTCAGTTCAATAACTTTAGATTAATTAATGAAAAGTATCAACAATACTAATAATGGGGTGTATCTGACACTTTTGTTATATAGGTTATAAAACTCTGCGACGACGCAGTAGTCACAGCAATGGGTTTTAACTTAACAAGAACCCGTAAAGTGACAAAAAAATAACTTCTTAAAGATATACATATTAATTATTAATCACAATTCACCATGAAAATAAAGGTTGAGAAATGAAAAAGCTG